ATGAATCTTTGCCTACTGCACTTGGTCTTGTTGTTCTGCACACTCAACTTTGTGTTGAATATTGTTCTTTCTTAGTGTTAAAAAGGCTGTGAACTAACCCTATTCACATGGTTGAATGGACATTGGATTAAGACCATGGTTGTGGCAGTGGTTTGCTAGTCTGGTTAAACAGACAGAATTTGTATGTGCACCATGAAAAAAGAGACTAAAGCACCAAAAGAGTTGCGAGAGACAAGCAAAAGACAAACAACAGTTTTAGAAAGAGTTTGTACAAAGTATATTTGGATTGAAAGTAGCATTCTAAGATTTTCCATAGAAATTTGACATTTGACGATTGTTATTTACAAATAAGCATTCATTTCTCCACAAAGTTACAAAAAAGCTACAACTGACATTCTCGCAAATTCTTTCTAAACTAATGACTGAGACATTTGAAAAATAAACACTCTGCATCTATCTAATTCAAAATACATAAAAAAGGTTGCAGATACAGTCGCTCATATATTCAATTGATGTTTCTTGGTTTCGCTTTTGACTCATTGAGACAGATGTAGACTGTATTTCAAAGCACTTCACGCCTGGATTGTCTTTCATAGTGGCTTCTTCTTCAGACCGAAAACAGCTATAAACAGAAGAATCTCCACAAATGCAGGTAACACGCTAGAGGGAGACAGACAAAGACAGAAATTGTGGGAGAAACATTAACAGAAAAGTCCAAGTACATATAGTACCAGCATAAGCACTCATACTGCAATTAATATTTATTTGTTTATACTTGCTCGGTTTGAGTTTAGTCTTTTTACAAATGCAAGCATCAACTCACTCATGCCCACACACACACTCATGCACCAACCTGCAGACAGCAAAAATAACCCAATATGTCCAGCACTCCCACTTCTCAAATACAAAGAAAGACAAGGAGACAGATGCGCTGCAGTGGACAGCCAGAGCTGGGTGAGGTATCTGTCAGGGAAAAAACACTTTTGGGAAATAAACACACCATATTAAGTACATGTTACACTAACCTGCAAATGGCAAGGATCCACCAGTAGATGTCACACTCCCACTGCTCAAAAAGAAAGAAAAGCAGAGCCACTGAGGCACTGGCATGGACTCCTGTTGCTATTGTACGCAGTAACACAGAGGGTGAAGTCATGGAATTGTAACTGAAGGCTAGACTGATTTATCTGTATGACTTATAACTGTATCAGTTTTCATTCTTTGATATATAAGGAGGGCTCATCAAGAGGTATTGTAATTGACACTAATTTCACAATGAGGAAAATGTCATTGTAAAGTTCTGATTGGATCTCAGGTCTCATTCCTTTTTTCTGCCCTGGACCGTCAACTTAGTTAGAGTGTTTAATTCTGAGTTTAGCATTGGATTGTTTGCATTTGTTACACAGTGGTGTGAAACAAAGGCAGAGAGGATATAACTAACAATAATAGTGGAATCAAACTAGGGACATTGCGGTTGTATGACCTGTGACCATTCACATACCAAAGAAACTAAATTTAGACAAAAATATATATTATTGTTCTTGCCAATTAGAGGCTGGGATTGGCTCCAGCCCTGCACACTTGAGGAATAAAGCTGTTATACAAATGATGAATGGATGGATGGATGCATATATTATTGTTGAGCTCCCAGTTGATTTATATTAATTTCTATTCAGCCAAATCAATTCAATCACAATCATATGTCAGTAATAATCAATGAGTGACCACTGCGACTGTAAAGGATACACAGGAGACCTTGGCTGCAGTTGAACATGGACACTCCTGAGAAGAATCCAGCCAGCTCGATGACAAACAGTCCGAGGGTGACAGCCAGTGCCACCACCAAACTGAAACAAATCCACAGATACTGAAGAGAGTGTTTCTGTTCATTAGCATGTGTTCAAATTGTCAAACGTGTTCTTACTTCCTGTCTTCATTGTCATATTGCTCTTGTGTGAAATCCAAAGGCAAACAGGCCTTTACGTTGTTTTCCTGAAAAACACACCACACACAAAGAATTAAGCAAGAAAACATATTCAATGTATTATTTAAACTTGTGGCAATCTGTCTGTCTAACTTACCCTTGACCAGAAGATCGTGATAACGATGACAAGATGGGCTATGATGGTGAGAAACCGTGCAGGGACGAGACTGCTAACAGCCGACATGCTAACACTGCTACAAGCTACTAGTTTATACTCACATACAACATGAAACTAGCAAAGCAGAGATTATTCTCATCCCTCTGTTCACTGCAGTGGAGTCTTGCTAATGTTCTAATACAGCTCTTAGCCTCACTGTGATATCTAGCTAACTTTATCCCGAACGAACACAAACCACACTGGATTATCTCATTTTATCTCAACGATTCGCTTCTTCAACTAACGACGATACACACGATGTCCGCGTTGTTGCTGTTCACGCTAGAAGACGGTTGCTACAACAACCACCGAGTCGGTTCACTCGTTACAACTGCCCGGAATGAACAACTAACCCTCAAAGGTTCCGGGTCCGGATGACAATCGAGGACGGACTGGTTACGACACTGCCACCTATGGGCGAGAAGAAAAACTGGGCCACAAACATTTAGAAATTTTGAGGTTAGTGAGCTTCATGAAAATAAAATAAAAACCTGAAGAGGCTGAACAGGGATTCATAAATAATCTGCTCTTATAATAAACACCCTGCGTCAATTAACATAAGAACACTGCGACTCCACCGGGTATGATGATTTTATAGCGTCAAATATACATGAATTAAAATAAATATAGCGATCACATAATTAATTACCACCTCGGACAATGTGATATTTTTTATATATTTTTTATTTTGCTCTATGCGGCTGTGATGATACAGCTTGTACCTTCACCCCCCCCCCCCCCCC